CCAGGGCTCCCCAGGCAGCTAGGGAGTTCAGGGTCCACCCAGCAACAGAAATGGACAGCTCATGGGTATGAAGAGAATACTTAGAAACAATCTGAGAAAATCAATGAGACTCATCTGGCCTGCAGAGCCAATCAGAAGCCTGGGGGGTGGGTCAGGCTAATTAGGCACCTACGAATCAAGCAGGGTTTCAGCTCTGACTTCCCACCTTCCAACACCAGCACCCGAGGTGGAGAGCATCCAGGTGGCAATGCCAGGGGAAAGACTAGGCCTGAGGTCTCCTCAGAAGGAGTAATGGAGTTTCCTTTTATATGTGGGTTTTTGTTAATTTGAATTAATTCCTCGTTTTTTCTTTTGGTACTAGGGATTAAACCCAGGAGATCTTTACCACTAAGTTCCTCTTTATTTTTTTTTTTTTATTTTGTTAAAGGGTCTCACTAAATTCCCAAGGCTGATCCCAAACTTATGATCCTCCTCCCTCAGCCTCCTGAGTCGCTGGGATTACAGGTGTGAATTCTTGCTCTAGAAAAACATCATTTTGCCTGAAAAAAAGAGACATTTGGAAACGTGCTCCTAATAACTGTATCTTGACAAGAAGTCATTCTCCAGTCAAGGAGGCAATAGACCCCATATGAAGCATGGGTGAACTACATGAAGTAGCCGATGTTCAACTGCCTTTGACTCACAACCACACATACAGTCACACACATTCTTTTCTCCACCAAGGGAAGCAATCTAGCAAGGTAAGGCCTATCACTGTTGGACTTGGAGCTCCAAGACCACACATTTAAGTGACAGAGTCCCAATATGYTTTTAGGCTGATCCCAAACTACTGGGCTCCAGCAATCATCCTGCCTCAGCCTCCTCAGTAGATGGGACTGAAAGTGCATGCTAGGGTGCCTGGCTAGGATCATACATTTTAAAGTTAAAGGGCTTCAGCTCGGGAAGGCAGCCATATTCCAGTTCAGTTGGGCTTCTGAGGTCCAGAGAGAGAAAGACATTTGCAAATTTATAGCTAATAAGTGGACAGCTCAYAGTACCAGGTTCTTACCACAAGGTTTCCTTGTGTTCAGAATGCACGGGGGGTGAGGGGGGGGGGTGGGTTACACTCACCTCTGCCCCAGGTTCACAATCTGGTGATGTCCTCAGGAAATGTCTAGCAGTGCACAAGCAGTGCTTCTTCTCTTAAGTCCTTCCAGAAATGGTTGAGTGTCTCCAACCATCTGACCTGGTCCCCTCACAACCCCAATCACAGGCACAGGCTCAAATAAACACATCAGGAAAAGTGCAAGGCTCTGCACTCATGGGGGCCACCAGACAGATGGCTATTTCAACCCTGAGTTAAACCTCTCACAGCCATCTAGTCATCAGTACCAGCTGCTCTTTGCTCTGTGATCAGGGCAATCCCAAGGACTCTGAAGGCTGAGGCAGGAGAGTCACAAACTCAAGGCCAGCCTGGGCAATGTAGTAAGACCCTGTCTCAAAATTAAAAAATAAAAAATAAAAAGGGCTGGGGATGTAGATTAGTAGTAGACCTCCTGGGGTTCAGCCRGAGCAAGAAAAAGTGAACTTTATGAGTTAAGAATATTAGATGTAAAGGGGGTGTCTTCTTGTGTCCCTGAGCAACAGTGGCCTGGGGGAAAGGGGCTTTGTGAGGAACCCCCATCCCATGATGCAGATGTCCCACAGGCAAGGGGACCCTTTCCCAAGATTCTCCAGCAGGAACTGGCCTTATGATATCAGACTGTGGCTCTTGTCAAATCAGACTGTGTCAGTGATTCCCCCCAAATTAAGAGAGAGCCAACTGTCACTCAGAGGCTGGCCCAACCTGCCACTTCCCATTTCTTCCTCGTTAAGACACAAATGATGAGAACAGCCAGCCTGCCAGGTAAAGTGGGGGTTAGGGAAAGATGTTGGTCAGCCTGCCAGATAAAGTGGGGGTTAGGGAAAGATGCTACATAAAGTGGTCGCAGAGCATGTGCTGGCCATGGGGCCCATTAGTCACACTAAGCCAGCTCCAAACCTCTCCTCTTCCAGAAGCCAAAGGATAAAACAAAAGCAAAATCCCCTAAGGCCAGGGTGGCAAGAGCCACAGTCAACTTCAGCCAATTCATCCTGCAGAGGTGGAGGAAGCTGCCTCTAGGAGCTGGCAGAGAGCCAGCACCTCACTGCCCTTCTCTGATCCAGAGACTCCCACTGCCCTTTTGAGGGAAGCATATAACAACAGCTTTTAAAGGAAGGAAACCCAGAGGGGCTAAGGGACAAGCCTGAGGTCACACAGCAACAGCAGGATGGGAACAGCTAACTTGCTCAGCCTCAAAAGCCTGGTGGCCTGACTTGGCAATCAGTCCCCATGGTCTTTTAATTTCTCTTCATTCGAATCATCTTCTTCAAGCATTCTCCCCTTCTGTTCCAGACAGCATATCAAATGTAGAAGGAAAATGAYGCCACTCTGTAAAGATCAGGAGGCAAAGCCAGCTAGCACTATTCCRAGTTGCTCAAATGTAGGATGTTCTTGTTATCATTGTTACTGCCAGACTTTGGGAGTGCCAAAGGATGCTAAGTTAAGAGCATCCACCAAAGCCTTATAGGGCAGGGGGAGGGGGGTAGGCAACAAAGGATAACTTGGACATCTGTAGAGCTTCTGGCAGCRGTTTGGATCCCCCACAAGGGGACACTGGAGGACAATTGAGTTTAGAATTAGCAATAGGAGTTGAAGGATCCAAGGAGATGGTGCAGAGCACATACTACCTATTCCCATCACCGTCTTCCATGTAGTGACACCTGGTAAGAGCAGGACAGAAGCCTCTGAGGAGAGAGGAGGACAGGGAAAGGGGGAGGCTGGCTCTGGCTGCTCACGTGGCTTCCTTCACAGCTTCAAGCCTGTTCCTGACCACGATCAGAGAGCAAGGAAACCTGAGWGGACAAAAAAACCTCACTCCAACTAATACTATCTAGATCTCTATGCCCCCTTCCGCCCTGCCCAGAGAGTGTGGCAGGCAGGGCCCCAGAAGAGCAGGCTTGGAGGAACTGAGATGGTAACTCCTCTATCTCCGCCCACGCAGACTCACAGCAGCCTCTTTAGAATAACCTGCTTTCACTTCTTTCAGGTACAAGTATGTCCTTAGTAAAGACCCGGCTTTCCTTTGTGTTTCCACTGCATGGACGAATAAAAACTGGACTGAACCCTCACTCAAGGGCAGGTGGCTGTCTCACAGTTTAGGCTATATCCATCACACTAGTCTATCCAAGAAGGATGGCTGCAAACTAACAAAATGGAAAAAGTAAAAAAAAAAAAAAAAAAAAAAAGAGCAACAGAGCAGGTTTAGAGCCAGTATGGTTCGCATCACCCATGGACTGAAGCCTACCTAAGGGAGCCAAGGGTATACAAGTCATGTTCATGGCTTAGGGGCTGAGGTTTTCGAGGGACCAAGGGAAGCTCATCGTCCTCATGGGTTGGCTCAAACTGCCCACAGGATTCACATTTTTTCCTCTCCTAGCTGAGGAGTAGGGTATGGGGGCAAACGTAATCTCACACAGGGCTGGGGACAGGTCTCCAAGGTACAGCACTTGTCTGACATGCGTGAGGCCCTGGTTTCAATCCCGAGCACTGAAATAATAACAATAATCTGTTACACCTTGACTTCACTGAACAAAAGAAGGAGAGAGATGAGATGCAGTAACAAAATCCTGGGTGACAACACCAGGAGCCAGGGGCCCCCCAAGCCTTGGAGGGGCCCTTGAACCAGAGGGCAAATGGGCTCATAAAGCAAGGAACAATGTGAGAACCAAGGTCCCCTCTTTAGTCCTCCGCAGGGCAGGACTTCTGTCATAGTTACAGACAAAGAGCAATGACCAGATTTGCCACTGGTGCCAGCTGCACCAGCTCCCCATTCTGGCATCCAGACAACAGACCTGCAGATGGACCTCCAACCACAGAATATTTCACACAAAAAAAGGCAGTAGAACAACATTTACAGTCTTGAGGGAAGAGGAGCAGGACCTGAGGGCTGTACTTCTAATCAGGCTGTTATTGSCACAGGAAGATCACGGTTCACATACAACACCGGAAGCCTCAGAGGAGGACAGTGAAGAAATACATGAGAAAGTTTTTGCTAAAGCTCGACATTCACATCCAGGAAACAAATGCCGGACAAGTCAGGGTGGGTTCCTGTTGTCCTTTCTACCCAGCTCGTGGTGCAGAGCACAGCATGAGAGCTAACTGTGCACAGAGACAGAGGTGGCCTTGGTCAGTTTCCAGTCCTTGGGACTTGAAGGCTATTATACATCAACGGCTCACTGAACACCTTATAAACAGCATCACTGTGCCATATCCATTTACAAAGGGTATTACGAATGGCTTGGGTGTCACAAAAATGAATGGCCCAGAGGAGAAGGAATCTCCACCATTCCAACTCCCAGCGTCTAGGGCCCACCCCAGTTCTGGGGCAACCAGAACTGGAGATATCTACCAACCAACCACATGACCTGAAGCCCACTGATTGCAGGGATTAGTGGGAAGACCAAAGGAAGGGCGTAACACATAAAGATCTGACAACCAAAGAGATGAACACAGAACTCTCTGACTTCAGAACTGGCACCAGGAAGCAGACCAAGYAGCTATTCCTGGGATGAGCATATGTTTGTTTCAGCACATGGTGTGACCGTATTCTGACCCCAGGAAGGCAGATGGGGGCCCTGCAACAGATGCTGGTTTCTGCCCTTGAGTGTTTCCAACAAACAAACAAACAAGGATAGACTCCACCACCCTCCTCGCTGCAACCTGGCTATACTTTCCCTAACTCCCCTTTCCTGGATTCTCACTGAGCCAGTTCCTCTTACCACCTGTGTGCTCAGATACATAGACGGAGGACCTGGAAGTGCAGGTAGGTAGTGCCAGGTCCATCCGCCCTTATGCTTCCACACTGGGCTACCTTGCCCCCAGTCCTCAGCTGGCACAAAAGGGCTTGGGACACAGGATAGCTCACATCTCACATCAAAAGAGACTCCAATTCACAGATGCTGAGGGGGAGKGGACGAGTAGCAAAATCAATCACAGAACATCCAATACTGGTGTGTGGGAAGGTTGAACTCAGGGCTAACAAAGGGACCCCCCCCCCCAGGCCAACTCTGGGCATACCCAACTGGCTGAGGAGAAGMAGCAGCAGACAGATTTGGCTGGATGACTCTGCAGGGTCACCCTAAAGGCGAGGAAGACTGTGGAGGGTGGGGGACATGCACGCGCCCCTCCCTCCCCTACACAGCCAGAGCTGATGGCCGCAGCCCYTCCAGTGGACATGAGTAGAAAGGCCCTGCAGGGCAGGAGACCCTCTGAAGTGGCCCTGTTTCCATCCCTTCCATCTTCAAAGTGCATTTTCAGTGCAAGAAGTAGGGCTGGATCTCAGGGGGCCCAATTCTGAGAAAGGGCTGTGCCAGCCAGCTCCCTCCATCTCCTCCTGCTTCCCCCTTGCCTGCCCATGCCCCTTTTCACRCTAAGACCAGAATTCCTGCTGGATCTCATAAGCAGTAGGCCTGTGTGTGTTCAGTTCAGCTCTGCACAGAGGCACGGTACTGTCCTGACTCTGCCCCTCTGCGTCCAGGTCCAGAAGCGTCCGCTCGGCGGGGGGCAGCGGCCCTGACTGAAATGGGAGCAGGGCTGGAAGGGCAGGCCGCTCCTCCACAGTGCTGCTGCTGCTAGCAAAGCAGGAGTCCAGGTTGCTGGGTGTCTCTGTGCTGGAGCTGTTGGCTGGGGAGGCGCTGCGGGCATGGCTGGGGGACACGAACCACCAAGGGTCTAGCCTTTGCCGATTGGCAGAGGGACGTGGGCGAGGCAGAAACTCCAGAGTCTTGGGTCTCTCCAAGGTAGAGTCCTGCTGTGTGTTCCAGCGCCTTGGGGTTGGGGGAAAGACCACATTAGGGTCAGGGAGCCGGGGGAATTCACCTGGGTCTCGGCTAGGACTGGGGGTTTTCAACATTCCTGGTCAAGAAGACAAAGGGAGAAGCATCAGATGATGGCACTGTATTTCTGGGTCAGATATTCACTGCTCTCCCCACCCTGCCATSTCCCTTTGCACTTAGAATAACAAGAATTAACAAATAGTTACCTAACGCCTACTATGTCTACTATGTGCCATGCAGTGTGCTGGGTGGTATTGGAGATACCACAGTACCTAGGCCAAGGTCCCTGTAYCCAATAATAGTAATGAGTGTCCTATCTGCAATGAATTAACTAAAGGCAGATGCTGGCAAAAGAGCCACAAACGGGCCACATGTGTTTGTAAATCAAATCTTAATGGAACATGTGTTGGAGATACTCAAGGCCTGCTTTCCAACCAGAGCAGTACAGCTGAGTGGTTACAAGGGAAACTGCATGACCTGCAAAGCCCCAGTTTGCTGACCCCTGACTTAAGGAAATGTCTGTCATTCATTCTTCATCATTTAATAAATGTATGATAGGAACAGAAGTCTAAGTAGCAATATGGAGGTTTATATCTGAGAATACAAAAGCCTATTAAGAGGAAGGTCAAGTCAATGGTAAAAATATAATTGTTACTGACACCTAAATCTCACTAAAGGTATGGCCTTCCCTGCTTCTCCTCCTGGACTGGAGCCAACTCTAAGTCAGTCTGAGATATTCCAGGGAGCAAGGGTGGTGACAGGGAAAACCTGGGTTTGAGTGTGTGTATGCCCAGGTGTCGGATGCAGCAGGTAAGTGTGTGCACRTGGGTAGTAACTCACCTGGACACGTGTCCATGTCTGCTGAGGCAGGTGAGTCAGGGATGAGTGTTGACAAGCGAGCTGACAGATGGAAGCCTTCCTGTGAGTGTGTCTGAGCTGATGTTGTAATGGGAGACCTGCAACCAGCTACGTGGCAGAAAACGCCCTCCTACCTGCAGCACAGCATTCCTTCCTAGTATCCATGGTACCCTCCGGAAATAACTAGAAGCTAGACTCCTGCCCCTTCTGGACACTGCCTGCACAGCAGTGCTCTACCCTGACCCAGGGCCTGGACATGACAGTGCGGTACCAGGTCTGATTCTTCCAAGAACCCACTTGTCTTCTTTCGGTTGCCAGGAAAGATCCCTGCCCTGTGGCCCATCCAACCCTGGTCACCTCCCTGACCTCAGATRGGTAATTCTTGCTTGGCTGAGTAAGAGGTGGAATGGGGCTTACTCAGATCCAGAAGTAGAAAGAGGAAATGAGGCACCTACACCTTCACTCCCTGGGAGGCACAAAAGACAGAGGAGAGAGGAAGCGCCCAGGACTCACCTGCTCCAGGACTGGGGCTCAACCCATTGCTGGAGGGGCTCCTGCTGGCTTGGAGAGCTACAGGCTTAAGGGCTCCATCAGAAGGAGTCCTCCGGTGACCACTCGGCTGCGTGGGGGCCGTGAGGGTGACATGGGTGGGAGTCAGGGACTGGTTAGGGTCTCTCTTGAAGCGTTCCACACGGACATTGACCAGGGGGTTGTGGGTGCACGGGGGCGGGGGCGGGGCCTCGATGGGGCTGACTGGCATCTCATACACCACGATCTCATCGCTGTCGGAGCGCAACAGGGAGCGGGTGGAGTTGCACTCAGAAATGGAGGAGAGAGAGAGMAGCGTCAGGGAAGCGGAGGGGTCCCCCAGCAGCAGCATGGGTTCTTCCTTCTTGAAGAGCTTTCGGGAGGGGGGGCTGGTGCTCCGGCGAGGACGGCTGGCCCTCTGGAAAAGACCCTCGCGCCTCTTCTTCTCCTCCCGGGCTGGTGGCTCGGGCTCCTCTGGGGGAAGCAGCTGGCACCTGCCAGCTTCCAGCAAGTCAAACCCTAGGCCTGTGGCTGCCARGACAGCTCCACAGCCAAGCAGAGCCACCTCACAGCGGCGGTGATGGGTACCGCTGCGCTTGAGGCTGTTGGTTGGTGTCAGCTGAGGGGTACTGGTGGCTGAGTTGACTGGGGTGGGCTCCTCATGGACTCCATCACTGTGGGGGCCATCCCCATCCTCTCCTCGAGGAAACGGGATACAGAGGTAGGACTGGTTAGGTGAATGCTGTAGACGACTCTCTCCACTCCTTGTGCCTTCGCTGTCTTCATCCTCTGTGAAGATGAGAGGAGTGGAGGAGAAAAAAAGAAATGGGTACAAAGCAGCAAGAAGAAGAATCTGGTCCTTTCCCCTGACCCCAGGCCTCCTGACTCAGTGTCAGGGATGCCAAAGTCAAACAGCCTGACGGGCAGGACCTGGAATGGACATGGAACCAAAAGGGCTGTATTCCCCGACACGCAGCTGCGACCAACACGGGGAAATGAATCCACATTCCGGAGCCCATTTTCCTATTTTTAGGAAAGAAGATCTGTAATTTGCTACTTCTTTGAACCTCACGTGTGTGTGTGTATGTGTGTGTGTGTGTATGTGCATGTGCGTGCGCACGCAATGCTAGAGATTGAGCCCAGGACCTCATATTCTAGACAAGTACTCTACCACTGAGTCCCACAGAAACCCTTAGTACAAATAAAGCACAAGTCTCTAGAACACTGGATAGAACAGAAACATTCCTAATAGTTTCGTACCTTAAAATTGGAAGGACTTTTGGATTTCTAGAATGGCAGCTCAGCAACTTAAGACTAGTCTTCACAAAGGATTAGAATCCCCTATAATTGGCTCCATGGATGGAATGACCTTAGAAATCTACAGAGATAAGAATATCACCTGAGAGAGCACCTGGAGAACTTACCCACCGTTCAGTAATCAGAGGATGACACTGGTAAGCCTCCTGGGAGGACAGCTGCAGTGTCTTCTATCAYCACCCCCCACTTGGTGGGCTCCCCTATCCATAGAGTCAGGGACAGGAAATGCCTGATTCAAGGCCTCACCCTTCTCTTGCCCTAAGGAGACTCCAACTGGCCCCTTGGGATAAGAAGCCAAAGGTAGGCTCCATGACAGCAGGAAAAAACTGTGATTTAGAAGCTCGATGAAACGGGTACAGAACAGACAAACAAAGGGCAGAATGGGTGGGAGTCGAGTAAAAGCTAAGACAAATACCATTAAGCAGTATTAGGGGTCCTTAAAAGTCCTGGAAATGGCCAAGAATTCCCTGAAGGACTAGGGAGAGAACAAAGGCCAGAGCAATGCTTACCCATCTCCATAAGGCTGGTGAACCCTGGCAGTGCCARGCTACTCCTCGGGCCCTTTCCCAGGTTGGGGGCACTGGACGACCACTGCTTGTATCCATCTACCAGGGATTTGAGGCTGAAGAAGAAGAAATGAGAAGACTGTCAGAAGTGGCCACTTTCCTCACCTAGCCTCCAAGGGCCTGAGGAAATGCCTTTCCTTGTTTGCCTGATCACAATGAGGACCTAGGGTCCAGGCAGCATCTCACTGAGCCCACCTTCTGCACAAACAGAAGTGTACATGCTCTAGGGAAAGAAAAGCAGCAGTTTGACCCACCCTCCTCACATGCTGTGGAACTGTGGAGAGAGCTGGGGAGCAGGGTGGGCAGACAGAATAAGGACTGCCCAGTGAATGGGGGTCCTGCCTGATCCCTTCTTAAGGGAGAAAATCCACAAACACTGAACACGACACACTCGTGACATTAGAAATACCGCAATGCAAAGACAATACTTGCAATACAAAGCAAGCATGGGCAGATGATCCAGCAGAAATGGGCTGGGCCGCCCCATTCAAGCCACTGCTCAATCCTSCTTTCAAACTCCTGGCATGCTTAGGCCACTTTCAAAGCCATACATTTTTCAAAAAGAAAAAAAAATCAACCAACAAAGCATCACCAACCCTGTGCACTTTGGGACAGACCTATGTGGGTAGTACTTGATGATGTACTCCGGCCCTCGGTTTGTGTGGGGATGGAGAGAAAGAGGATATCAGCTTGTTCTCAGATCCCTGTGATCAGCTCATTCAGCAAGCCAGTATATCACCAAGGACAGACAGGGCATCCCACAAACCCCCTAATATGATGGGGGAGTCAGAGGCAGGAAGCACTGGTCTTCTTCCCTAGAGGACAGTAAACAGGAGCACTGAGGAATCCACATGCTGTGGTGGTTTGGGGGATCCCACAGAATAACCAAAGGTGGCTTTTTTTTTTTTAATTCTGAAGACCCATTCAACAAAGCCCACTCTCCCCTGAGTCCCAGGCCACTCTGAACACAAAAGAAGGTTTGACCTTTTCCCTTGATGTTTCAAGTGCTGAAAGACATACCAGTGGATTCAAGTACCTCCCAACGTCCACTGGTTTCAAACAAAATAAAGAGCCAGGGAGGAGCCCGCTGCTAAACCTACAGCCTGGGACTTCCAACTGGTAATTTTATCACTTCTAGCTCTGGGTCCAAGGAAATCCAGATTAGCAAGTCAACACCAGTGATCAAGACTAAAGGATAAATAGCCATGGATCTTCTCCCTAATGCTAAGGGTGCAGGAGTATCCTACATACTGGAGCGGTCAGGAAAGTGATAGATCAACACAGGAAATTTCCCAAAGTGCACAATGGTATTGCTCTTAAAAAAAAAAAAAAAACAACAACAACAACAACAAAAAAAAAAAAACTCAGCTCAGCCTTTGCAGTGATGAGACCTGATTCTATGGGGTATGAGAACGGGAAATGGAAGGATGATTGCTGCCAGCACAGCTGGTGAAAGGGTGAGGATTAGACTCACCCCAAGTGGAAATGTGGAGATTCTGATGGGGTACTTAAGCCATTAGCTTTCTCACGCCTCTGAGGGGATCTTSAATGAATAAAGAGAATCAGTAGTAAGGCTCATTCTGCTCAGCTTCTCCCATAGCCGAGATCCCAAGGCTGGGCTTGAGCTATGTTGCCAGTCACCTCCCCATGTCCAGTCAGCAAAGTCCACACCAGGAAGGAAACTTAACAAGATGGCCTGTTTGAGCTGCTTCAGGCCCAAGCCCTCCTATCTGTAGGACCAAGGTCCCAGGGCGACTGCYGGGTGGGTCTGTGAATCCAGATAACCAAGCTGTCCTGAGACAAGTGTGTATGCGTCCTATAGAGCTGTACCGTTTGTGAAAAGCAGGAAGATACATGCTCACTTAATGTTACTGAATTCAAGATAAATTACTGCCATTACATATTTTCTTCAATCAACACGCTCTAAAATTAGAAATATGTAGAGAGGCTCTCAAAATTTTCTGTAATCCCAGCAGTTTGGGAGGCTGAGGCAGGAGAATTACAACTTGGTGAGACCCTGTCTCTAAATAAAATATAAAAAGAACTGGGGATGTGGCTCAGTTAAGCATTCCTAAGTTCAATCCCTGGTACCAAAAGAATAAAAATTCCGACATCAAAGAGATTTTTTTACTCAGAACTAGATGAAATCCACTTTTATTTCTTTAATGGGAACTGATAATCATGAGATACATGATATATAATCATGAGATATATGATATTTTTAATTGCTTCAACAGTTATGAGTTTTCTCACGCCTCTGAGGTAATTGGTGGCACATACCTGTAACCCCAGGGCCTCAGGAGGCTGATGCAGGAGGATGGAGAGTTCAAAGCCAGTCTCAATAATTTATCGAGGCCCTAAGAAACTCAGTGAGACCCTGTCTCTAAATAAAATACAAAAAGGGCTGGGGATGTGGCTCAGTGGTTAAGCATCCCTAGGTTCAATTCCTGGTACCCCCGCCACCCGCAAAAAAAGTATGAAGACAAACCTATGTAAGGAAAAAGAAAAGTACAAGTTGATATTCTGTAATGTGAAATATGATTAATTTAATACCAAGATAAAAGGTATCTTATTCCCTCTTTGGGTAGTGGGCATTGAACCCAGAATCACTCTACCACTGAAATACATCCCTACCCCTTTTTATTTTCTGAGACAGGGTCTCACTAAATTTCTGAGTCTTTCCTTGAACTTGTGATCCTTTTCCCCAAGGAGGTGAGATTACAGGTTAAGTCACTGTGCCCAACAAAAAGTATCTTTAAATGAAGCAGAAATAAAGAAATTACTGGAATCTACAACCAGCTTGGCTAACGGTATTTGGAATTATAATGTCAGAAATATCAAGTGATGGGCTGGGGCTGTAGCTCAGTGGTAGAGTGCTTGCCTAGCATGTGTGAGTCGCTGGGTTCAATTTTTAGCACTGCATATAAGTAAATAAAATAAAGGTCCATAGACAATTAAAAAATATTAAGAAAAGAAAAAGAAGAAGAAATATCAAGTGACTCAGGGTCAGCAAGTTTCTCAAACCCAGCTCAACTCCTGTCTACCTCAGTGCTCAAAGAACCAACTAGGAAGCTCCAGCTCCTACAGAACTTGGTAGAGTAGAGTGATTTGCTGTCCTCTGTGGATTCATCCTGAAGCCACACACATTATAGGTAGTTTGCCCTACATGTCTAACTTTGCTATTCAAAGAAATCTAGTGATTTCTGAAGCCTGGCTTCAGAAAGTCAATCCTTATTTTCACCTTGAATTCAGATCTGATGTGGGGAAATAGATTTTAGACATGAAAATTTTAGTATGTGAAAGATTAGCAAAACCATGGCACCCGCAAACCTAATAGCCAACCTTAGTAACTCTTTGGAAAGTCACTATGTAATGGTGAAGAGGACTGCTGGACTCTCTCACACTTAGAATTAAGTCATAAAACACTACTGGCTTAGAGTTGAATACTAAGAAGTTAAAACTGTGATAGCCATGCTTCGGGTATGGAACAGAACTGAACTACACAAGAGGTAAGGAATACTCACCCTGGCCAGTATGTATACAGGCTCCCTATGAGCCAGCAAATTATTTATGCACTTCACAAAGAAGAAATCAGAAAACCTTCACATCAGCTACCCATCAGTGGGATGGGTACTGATATCATCCCCAATCCACAGAATATACAAGCTCACACAGAAAGCCGGGTGGAGCTGGGATTCGTGCTAGGCAGTCTAGAGTCAGCAGCCAAGCCCTCCACTGCTACACTATGAGTGCCTGGCCTGTGAAGCACTGAGACTCAGGGGAAAATTGGCCTCTGGCCTCAAGCACTCAAGTGAGGACACAGTTCTTTCACAGCACCAAGGCCCCCTGGGCTTTTCCCATGGGGTGTAGTCAGTGTGACTCTGGGGTGAGACCTGAAAGAAATTCTCATGGCCTATTACCTCTATCAGTGCTGGTTTCTCTGTCTGCCCCTGCTTCAGAATGAGCCTCCTGTTAACCCCTGCTCTCTGTTCTCTTAACTATGAATGGATGCTTTAAGAGGAAGAGCCAGGTATGAGTAGAAGACTCAGACAGAACTTCCTGTATTTCTTCCTTGCTCTGAAGGGATCAGCAAACTGCACTGGTGGGCAACATCCTGCCCACACCTTGTTTTCCTAAAGTTTGACTGGAACACRTCCACATTCATTCATTTATATATTGCCCATGGTCCAAGGCTGTTTTGCTCCAAAAGAGGAGTTGAACTGTTGAGACAGAACTTTATGGATCACAATGCCTAAAATATTTCTTATCTGGCCCTTTGTGGAAGAAAGTTTGCTAACTCCTATCCTAGGAGGTTCCTGGGAACCAGTAGATTGGAAAAAAACTGTAAATTGTAAAGACCACGAGGTTTACAATTGAATACACATTAGAAAAAGGGTGTTTTATTTTTTGTAGCATTGAAGATAGAACCCAGAGACAATCTTCCACTGAGCTACATCTCTAGCCCTTTTTTTCCAGCCCCTATTTTTTTTTTTTTATTTTGTGACAAGTTTTCACTAAATTGCTGAGGCTGGCCTTGGAACTCATGATTGTCCTACCTTGGTCTCCCAAGTAGCTGAGATTACAGGCATGTGCCACGGTGCCAGGCTAGCAAAAGGTATTTCATATCGTATTTTTAAATGATGCACTCATCTTYACATTAGAGAGAATTTCATATCATCTGGCTCTTACCCTTCATCCCCTGAGGCAAGCTCCTTCTGCCCAAGTGTCCCTGGCCCCCATGTTCGTCCCTTCTTCTTTGTGGCCCTCTTCTCCTCCTCTTCCCCTTCCTCTTTTGGGATGACTGAGCTCCGGCCCCAGGTTTTGCTGCTTTCACCTGGYGTCACTGTGCATAACAAAGGTTAGATAAGATCCAGAGAAATGAACAGACAGGGCCCCCTCTAAACTAGCCTCTGCCCCACCAGACAGACTGGAACAACTCAGAGTTGCAGGGAAGTTAGACCTCACCAGAAACTCTGTGCCTAAGGGACCCTTACAAGAAAGCAACGGAGTCCCCAGCTACCAACCATTTAACTCTCAAAATAAAAACATGGAGAAACTTCCCAAAGGGTTACAAGTCCAATATAAAGCTGGAGCTCAGGCCAACCAGACACCAGAGTTCTAAACAGATGTAACTGAAAGAACTTGTTTTGCTGGGTGGAATTGCATGGTGGGGGAATGAAGAGGTTAATGTGGGGTGGGGGGAGACAGTGGGTAAGGAAAATGTGGAAGAAAGGAACTATTGGAAGATAGTCTAGAAAGAAGAAAATAAGGCTTTCCAGGCTCTGGAGAAGGTGGTCAGGAAGAGGGGGAGAGGGAAGGGAAAAGATAAGGAAGGAAGAACCCTCTTCTGATGGAAAGCTATAGAGATACGGCTCATATGAGAAATGAATGAAGTGAGCCAACTACCAAAAAAATAGGGAACTGAGGCCACTGAAGCAAAATAGGAAGCATATGGAAACTGCTATCAATTCCAGCCAACTCTGGTCACATGAAAAAAAAAAAAAGAAGAAGAAAAAAAGAAACCCTCTAATGTGATCTGAATCCTCAAGGAAGGTCAGAAACCCAGGATTTTTAAGTGAAATCTATTTTCAAATTGGAAAACCATTCATTCATATACACCCACATTTACATATACAAACACACACACGTGTGTGTAAGTGTGTGTTCTTTTTTAAACAAATACTATGGTAAAAACAAAATAAGCCTAAGATTGGCCCACTATACAGTATTTGCAAGTTTTCTTAGGAGCTAAGAAAATGACTTTGGAAAAGCCATTCCTTAGGAAACATGGACAAAAGAAAAACAATAATGTCCCAAATAGGGCAGAGAGTACATTATTAGGTCCCCAGGCCAGGATACCAACAACCTATATCTACATTATACACCAGTTTCCAGATTGCTTTGTAACTCACTGAAGATCCTTCAGCACCCAGAAATCCCTCTGCTGATATTTAACCAGGAGCAAAAGGTAAAGAARGCAGCAGCAAAGTTAATGGAGAGGGACAGGGTAGGTCTGAGGGTCTGTGTGCATATGTACATGTATATACGTCTGTTGAGGGGGTAGGGGGCAGAAGTTATGCATGGAGCAAGCCTGGACCAGCTGGCGGTTGGACAGAGCAGGGGACAGGTTCCCTGGTGTGTTTGGGGCCCCAACTAATTTGAGAAACAGTCTCACACTGGATGGCTCGAAGGCGAGGAATGATGGTGGGGCTTGCAGGAGGGCTGGAGCGGCTGCTGATAAGACTCTTCCTTTTATCCATGGTTGGGGAGGCCTGCACCGTGAATTTGTGCTGGAAATCTGCTTGAGGAAAGACAAACACAGGAGTGTGCATTAGCCTTATCCCATCATCAAACTCATTTAAGAGAGGTGATGTCTTCTGGCAGGCCTGAGAGACAGGCCTCAGTTCCCTGAAAAGATCTGTTTACCTGGGAAATGTTCTCTTTCAGAACCATCTCTTTTTTCCTAAGGGACATGGCAACATGAATGTATGAACTGATGGAAAATTCATTATCTGAGTGAACATCATTAGACCAGTCTTTATAAAGCTCTCTCTTCAGTGTATACAGATGGAGCGATTACACATTGAGAACAGCTTTGAGCTCATGAGAGTTTGTTGATTATTCTAGGGATTGGAACTCAAAATTCTCTGTTTCAGATGATCTTCTCAGGGATCAATGCAGGGAGACTAATGCTTCTCATTAAGTGTGGGCAGAGCAGGGAATCCAGGGACCAAGGGAGGTGGTCAAGTTGCCTTGATTCCAACATCATCCAAAGGCAGTTATGGTACATCACACAGAATGTAAAGCCCACTTCTCTGAATTTCAGCCCCTCACCATCAGAGAGGCATGATACTCAGCTCCTTGTCTGTACGCTGATCTCCCCAATAAACTGTGGTCCCTTTGCAGGTGGGATTATGGCTTCTACACCTGCATCCCCAGCCCACTGCAATATGCTGGCACAGGCTAAATGCTCAAAAGGTGCTTAAAGACTCTATGCTATGTGAAGAGGAAAAAAAATGTACAAAAGAAAATAGCAAACATGTTCTGTGGGCACACCCTCTCAATTTCGGTGAATGAATTCCCTTGTCTATGCCTAAGCCACCGTCCTAGGCTTACCATCCTCCACAGGTGCTCTCATCAGACCATTTTTCCTTGGCTCCTACACTTCTAATAAGCTTGCTTCCTGGGGTTTTATAGATTCAGAGCACTTTTATCTACATAAAAACACATTTAAGGGCTGGGGTTATAGYTCAGTGGTATAGAGCGCTTGCCTCACACGTGTGTGAGACCCTGGGTTTGATCCTCAGTACCATATAAAAATGAATAAATAAATAAATAAAGATATTGTGTCCATTAAAAACAAAACACACTTAAGCACTCACCTCCCTTGACGGATATATTATACATCACAAAGATTCTATTTCATATTTCCTTGCATTTCTCCCAAGGCTACACAGTAACACAAATGATGGACCTTTATTCATCCAGGGCATTTCTGAAAGGTTATGTGTAAACCTTATGATGTAAATTCTTATGSACTAAACCTAATCTCAACTATCCTCAGAGAACTAATTAAGTAAAGAAACCTTGGGGTGATGGGTTGTACAGAGCCAAGACTCCTCTAGTTTCACATACACAGTCCTGGAATTTTCTCCCTGTTAGAAGCCTCCTTCTCCAGGTTTGTCTGAAGGGAGATGCACCTGGGTAGGCTGCCACACTTCCAGCAGCCGGACCTTGCRAGTCTGTCTTCACACTGTGTTCACTCACACCCCCGGCAGTTCCCCTGGAGTGGGGCAGATTTTCAGCAAGCCAGTCTTTCCACTGAACAGAATGGCCCATGACAACAGGTGACACTCGGGCATGGGTCCCACAAACTCCTGCCACACCGGCTCCTCACTTCCCTCCCACTTCAGGCCCCCAGCCACTGACCAGAGGGAAGACTGATGCGGTTGCCATCCTTGAGCTTCAGCCGGCTCTTCCTGAACTTGCCCTTGCGTTTCTTCACCCGGGGCTTTTCCTGGCACAGCTGGTGGATGATGATGTTGAGCTCCCTTTCCAGGATGTCGATCTCCCGCTCAGCCAGCTCCTGCTCCCGGCGCCGGAGCAGCTCCTCCTGGTTCTTCTGCTGGAGTGCAGCCCGCGTCAGCTCCTCCTCCCAGGTGCGGAGCTCCTGCAGGTCGGGAGGAACCATCAGAGGGAAGGGCAGGGTCCTCCATGCAGAGGGGCTCTGGAGTAAGGCCTGAGAGCTCAAAGGGCTCGTGCTCACGGCATCCTGGAGAGCTCTCCCATGATGCCTCATGGATAGAGGGGGCTGATCTGTGAGCTGGTAAGTGAACATCTGAGCACCCTCAGTCATGGAGAAAGGAAGGCTCAGAACAGCCATCCTGAGATACAACCAGAGATGCTAATACTGAAGGCCAAGCTCTAGAGACAGGGCAGGAGGAGCAATGAGGACATGACAAATAACATAAGTCACTAGCACTGACAACATAGTCAGGGAACAATTATTATCCTATTGCATAAGACAAATCATATAAATTATAACAGCTGGCACATAGTACATGCTCTTCAAAAGCTAGCTATTATGGGTTTGACTCTTCTTAGAATAACAGTGCCCCTGGACCTTGGGGCTACATCTCAAGACTCCAGTGCATGCCTAAAACCACAARTAGTATCAAACTCTTCATATACTATGTTTTTTCCTGTAACACATACCTGTGAAAAAGTTTAATTTATAAATTAGGCACAGTATAAGATTTATAACAATAACCAATAATAAGATAGAATTATAGCAATATAATAAAATCACCAGCATCACTACTCTCATGCTTTGGGGCCATTATTAAGTAAAATAAGTGTTACTTGAACATGAGCACTGATAGAGGACGAGTGGATCTGATAACTGAGACAGCCACTGAGTGACTAACAGGCAGGTAGTGTACACAGTCAGAGGGATGGCTGGCGTCCCTACTGGGACATCATGAGATTTTACCCCCCTACTTAGAATGGAAAGCAATTTAAAACTTATGGATTGTTCACTTCTGTAATGTTCCATTTAATATTTTTTGAACCATAGCTGACCATGGGTAACTGAAACCACAGAAAGCAAAACCGTGGAAAATGGAAGGGGGCAGTGGAATTATGGTAGCTACCTGCTGACAAAATATGGTCTTCATTTTTCTTACTGGCATATATAATTTATAATTACATATAATTTATAATCATATATACATATGTATATTTATATATGTTATAGTTTTATTGACCAAAAGAAAGGTAACCAAGAGTCACTGGTTAACCATCTAAAAAGAAGCTGATCATTCTGGGAGTTCTAGCTGGAACAATAATGATAGAAGTGTCTCGTGATCATCCCATTCAATGGCCAGTTCAGAGCCACCCAATATCTGTCCTAAGCTTACTCCACTCCCCTGCAGAACCCTCAATATTGAACTGTACAAGGTACAGATTGTTATGTACCATAGGAGTCTAATCTCTTCAAATCAGCTCCAGAAATTATTTATAAGTCATTTGTGTAAGGGAACAACCTTAATATTGCAAAGAACACAGATTTCAGAATCAGAAGGCCCAGGTTCAAGGTCCTGCTGCCCCACTTACTAGCTCTGATGACAAGGAGGCCACTGACCCTCAGCTCTGACACGGGAACAATAATACCTTCCCTATACGCTGGTGACAGGGCTCTGGATAAACAGGACAAAAAGGTCTCATCAGATCTCCCAAGCAAAATAACTGGGAACAATAAAGCATGTACAATTTTAGCTACATGCAATTTTAGCTTTCATATTTCTAGTAACTTCCCAACTTCCCACAATGCAGAGTGAGAAGGGGAAAAAGAAATTAACCAAGTCTCTGTGGACAACCCTCAGGGGCCCCGCTATACCCCTTAGATTTAGGCGTGCTCTTACAGTGTGAGCCACACAATTGCTTACGACTGGCTTTGCCTATATGGATGCTGTCTACTAGAGACACAGCAAAGAGGTAAAGAGGGGCCACTAAAACAAAAAGACAGATCTCTAGCAGGCCAGGAGTCTCTGAACTCCCCAGATGGCTTGCGCTTAGAACCCTTTCCATGAAAAATGTCCCACAATTTCAGACCCATGGCATTCCTGGCCCATATTCTGTTTCTGAGTCTGATACCAAGACACTGGGCAGGATGTTCTGATTGCTATTCTCATATTGAATTATCCCTATATGAAGTTAACGTCCTTCTGGAAGTCCATCGTAGAACCAAGAGACCTTCTCAGAAGCCTCTCGTAATTGTGGCTGGCAGATTGAGATACCACTGTCCAGTGGTGCTTTTCCTCTGGCTTGGACAATTAAATAGCTACCCAGCAGGAAGGTGGTCAGGGCAGGTCAGAAGCAGGGTGGTCGGACAGACTTAGTCCAGAGGCCCCGCTGGAGAAGGTCCACTGAGCCAGCGCCTGCCTTTTTTCTCTCTTACCTTTTCTTTGGCCCTGAGTTGGTCAAACATCTCCTGAATCTCATGTTTCCAGTCATCCTGCAGGCAGTGGAAGGAGTCCTTGGGCATTTCAAAGAAACCGGACTCCTCTATGGTGGTTAGCTGGTCCAGGATACTCGTGAAAGATGGTCGTGAATGGGGGTCGGGATTCCAGCAGTCTGAATGGAAAGCGTGAGGAAACAGAAAGCATGAATGGACTGAGGCAAACAGAAGACTTAGGGTATTACATGACTTCATTTACCAGAAAACTATCTCTTCTTTCTCCTTCCCCAAACTGAGACTGGAATTGAGGTAACCCCAAGCAGGACTCAAGAGTCAAGCAGGCTGCCCAGCCTCACAACCATAGAGAGCAAAACTGGAAATCAAACATAGCTGCTCTACACCCGTCCAGTTCTGATGTGAATGAAGCATAAGGAAAGCAAACCCGAAGAGTTTTCTGTGTACAGTACTGCTACCACGAACAACCATGTTACTATACGATTCAAGTCTTGACAAAGGGTAATTACAGCCTGAGCCTCGATTTCCCATAAATACATGAGTTGCCCTTCCTCAACTCAATGGAATGAAGAGAAGGAAAAGATAAAAATGGGAATCAGGAAAAGCCACGAATTAGCAGAATGGTCAATTACCCACTTAACCTTGATTAGCTTTGTATTTCTCACTTACAAAATTAGGGCATTTTCCCAGAGGACTTTAGAGTTCCTTTTTTCCCCAATGTTCATTTCTACAAGTAAGACACTYAGAGGTCCTGAAATAAAAGCTACTATACCTTCTTATTTTATATATTTTTAAACATTTATTTTTTAGTTGTAGGTACACACAATAGCTTTATTATTCTTATGTGGTGCTGAGGATTGAACTCAGTGCCTCACATGCTAGGCAAGGGCTCCACAACCCCAGCCCCTATCTTCTTATTTTATATTAATAAGATCGTGAAGTACTGGACAGCAGGCTTTAGTTACTAAGTTACCTTCTATTGATATTGTACATGGGCAGAAGGGCCCTGCCTCAGCAGGAAGTAGCTCTTTCAATGGCCCAAAGGACTCCTCATGGGATGACTAATAAATACTTTATCTCCTCTTTCTCTAACTGATCTTGTGAAACTGGACAATATCAATCAAGTGCTATCAAAAGGTAAACTGTCTCCAGTTTTGTTCAGGCCGGGGCTACTTACCTTCCATGAGTTTGGCAAAAGGTTCTGGGCAGGTAGAAGGTATAGGAAGGGCAAGTTTGTTCATGGCCACTCCATAAGCCACTGCTAAGCCATCAATGCCTCGGAAGGGCACCTCGCCAGTCAGCAGCTCCCAAAGCAGCACCCCATAGCTAGGGACAGGAAGAAGACAGAAGAGATATAATAATTAAAACTACAACCTCACGAAATAGTTCTCAAGCCTACATCAAGCACCCCATGTTCTCCCTAACCATAGGAACACTAACGGAACAGACCAACTAGTTAAATAGAAAAGGGAAACCACAAAGTCTACCAGCTAAAAACAAAACCTATAGAGTCAAGCACACTTCATTTCAATGTCTATTCCATCATTCCCAGGTATGCCACCGTGGGCAAATTACTACATCTCTCTGTAAGCCTCTAATTCCTCATCTATCGAGAGCAATAACATTTATCAGTCTCAGAAGGCTGTCACAAAATTAAATAACTTTAAATAAGTGCACAATGGCCACAGCTATTTTAATGTTCTCAATGAAATAAACTAAGAGGGCAGGCAAACTCCCAAACATAATTTTTTCTGTTTCAAGAAAATGTCAGTTTTTGTCACAGATACACATTTTTTTTTTAGCTTTAGAAAAGCAAACAGCTTACAATTCAACACAGATTTTGGTCCTGTAAAAGGCTTTTTAAAATACCCGTAAGGTGAAGTAGATTCCTGCCCCCAAATCAGTATGAGTAGGTCCTTCACAGAGACCTCTGTTTCACAAGGCAGACCTGGGTCGGGGCAGAGTGGTGTGTCGACTGTGAGAACTGCAGTGTGCCCTCCCTACCTTTCAGATTCACGTAAGAATTTCTCAGGTCCTAATAGAGAATGAATCGTAGAAAGCTTAGTGGAAGAATTATTCTATGAATTCACAATCAAAATCAGGCAAAATCACATAGCATTCAATCCTTTGAAGAATTAATGACTGTAATCCCAGCAATTCGGGAAGCTGAGGCAGGAGGATCACAAGTTTGAGGTCAGCCTGTGAAACTAAGTGAGACCCTGTCTCAAAATAAGATATTAAAGTCGGGGGTGGGGGGCGGGCTGGGCTCAATGATATAGCACCCTTGAGTTCAATCCCTAGTACCATCAAAAAAAAAAAAAAAAAAAAAAAAGAGAGAGAGAGAAAAAAAAAAAAGTCAGAACAAGAAACTATAAGGCTATGAATGGTCAAAGTCCTTCACTCAACACCAACCTCAAATTTCTTGTAATGTACATCTTTAGTGTGCATCCAGCAACAAAGACCATATTAATTAAAAAAAACAATAAACTCAGTAGATATTCTGTATACGCAGAATGCTATAATACTTAAGGAACATCATCTTGAATCTCTACAACAAGCCTGTGCAGTAAGTACTGTCTTTATTGGGCAAATGAGGAGAGCGATTCCTAGACAAGTTCAGTGGCACACATGGAGGACATCACGGTGGCCCTGGGAACTCTCAATTCCCTCTCTCTAGAACACCCTTCTACCATCCTCTGCTTGGTAATGCTAATCATCTTTCAGGATCCAACTCAAATGCCCCACCCTTCACCCATTCATTTTAAACATCTAGTAAATGTTTTCTAGGCATAAAGCTCAATGCCAGGCACTGGGATACAAGACACAGATYTTATCAGAACAGAGACTAGTGAGAGGGATAAAGAGGATGACAGCTAGAATACAGAGTGATGAGTCACAACAGAGATGCTGCGACAGGAAGGAGGATCACTAAAACCCGGCCAGGATGGGAACAGGAGGCGGCCCTCCAGCTAAGCCCTGCTGTTAAGGGAAGGAGCAGCAGAGCAGGCACAGGGTAAGCATGTGGAGGCGAGCAATCCAGACCACAGGTTTTCCTCTTGAAGACTCCCAAGTGATCAAGCCTGGCTCCAAAAAAACAATGTGCKAGGGCACTGGAGTTAAAGGTCTCCTTGGACTGTGCGTTTATCCCAGTAAGGCCTCCAGAGATCATCATTTTCTTTATGTATCTTGACAAGGAAATAAACAATTGCAGGTCTAGACAAGAAGGTAGATTTCAGTTGGTGGCTGATGGACACTTTGGGAAGCCTTTCCTGACGTCCCCTTGTTTGGGCTTCCTTGCACTGTAGTTGTTTGTTTAAAGCCAAAGAGCTCCTAGAGGGCAGGGGTGGCAGTTTTTAATCTTTGGATTCTCAGACTAGCCTGGCTCTGCACACAGGTGCTCACAGACATGTGAATTGGTAGAAGGGCGTGGGAATGAATGCTGACTGCACTGGGTGTGCTAGAGTAAGCCTTGCACACCCTCAAGAATTGCACGAGTGTACTTCCTGCCAAACCTTAAAACCTTAACATTTAAGGTTTGGCAGGAAGTACAGTGGTCATACTCGGTAACTTCTACAGAGTGATCCTAAAGAAACTTCAGCATTGCTGTCCACCTTCCAAGGTGAGAGCCACTCCCACCTTTAGCTGCCTGCTCTTAGCACCAGTGCCCACTCCATCCTGGAGAACAAAAACTGAAGTCCCATAGAACCCCCGTTGTCACAGGGCCTGACCTTRGACCCTCATGGAGGAATGTTTATCTTGCTCATTGTGCAGCAGGGAAGTCCTAACATAGAACACTATGTTTTGGGACATAGTGCTGTCAGAACACTGGTAAACACCATTTTCTTGCTCCTTTGAAAAAAAGTTATTCTCCTGTTGGTGCAAGGTCAGCCTACGTGGCAGTTTCAAAACTCTGGTGTCTAGACTCCCATAAGATGATATGTTGTGTATCACCTCTGGTCTGTCGTGACTGTTATATGCAAATTGGCACACACCCACTATAAAAGCTATTTTTGCTATGCAATAAAGCTGATGCTGTTCTCTGAAACCATCTCCATTGGGGTTTCTCTGCACCCTCCAGTTCCCCAGGGCAGGCCCCTCAGCACCCAATCTTCCATCTAGTCTAAGACAACCAGTTTCCGAGCCCTAAATACCTGGAAAGACAGGGGAATGCTTCAAAGGCTCCAACTTTCCCTGTCTGTGCACAGGTATCTCCTTTGTGATAGTTTTCACACTGAGCCCTGAGTGTCCTGTGGAGATGCCTTGGGCCACCCAGAAGAGGGAGGATCCTGGGATCCTACCCTTCTCCGTTTTGACAAGGCAGCTCTGCTCTAACTGTGCTTATCTGTTCTGCTCAAAGGGCTCTACAGCTAAGAGAAGCATGTGGGCTGTTGCTTGAGTGTGAGCAACGCTAATACAGAAAGATAATACACATTTGACTCAAATGCCCACGCTACCACTTACCAGCYACATGCCCTTGAGGAAGCAAGGTCACCTCATCTGTACACCTCATCCGTCTTCCTTAAGACTGCAGTATGCACCTTACAGAGTAGTTACAAGCAAAAGTAATAGCAACAGGCACTCTCCACCCCAAAATCACCATCTATGGCTAGTAAATATGTGCGATTTCTTCTCGGAAAGGGCCTGAAATGAGGAAGAGTCTGGAACTGATAAGGTAGAGCCCCAGCGTCTGGTGAGAGCCTTGCTGAGGGACACCATGACTCARAGAGGCAGCCTTTCTGGAGATGATGTAACCCATCAGTTTTCTTGTGCCAAGGTTCTCTTTGTTTTTMCAATGAATAAATGAAGACTTGGTACTTCTTTGGCAGGAATAGAGTCCAAGAAAGAAAGTGCAGAAAGACAAGTTAGGTGGATGTGAACACCAGGGTAGGTGGGCAGGAGAGGTCAGTGCAATAGAGCTCAGGCTCACTTCACCTTGTTGCCCTCCCAGGGTTGGAAAACGATGAAGAGGTCCTTTATAAGCTGACCCTTTGGAAAGGTCAGCTCAGATAAATCTCAGTCCCTCCCCTCAAGGTAGAGCCACCAGCCCCCTCACTTGCTGAACCCAAGTCTCTGTGAATTCACTCTTGGATTAATAATTAACCACCTCCAGAAGTTCAGTAATCGCTTCGACCGTTTCAGACGGTCAGGGAAGGGGTGTTCAATTTTTCTGAAAGTGAGGAAAATGATGAGAGTGGATACAACCCTTCCCAACCAGAGGGACAGCACTTCCTCTTATTAACCCGGGTTATCTCTATGGCTACCAGCTTGGGCCATGCTGTGAAAGTAGATCATTCGTTTCCCTTGAATGAGGAGGGCTGGGGAATTTCTTGCACGTGGTAATTGTCTGATCTCACAGTCCAGGAACCACACTGACTATCTAATAATCTTTGGCAACGATTTCTGAGATAATTCATCTGAAAGCATTTCAAATCTGTAATGTAACATAATTTTTCTTCTGGTTTTTAACTCATTCAAACCAATAAATTATTAACACACATATGTATGCAATGTATACTGTTATGGTTTGGATGTGAGGTATCTCGAAAAGCTCACATGAGACAGTGCAATAAGGTTCAAAGGAGAAATGATTGGGTTGTAAGAGTCTTAACCCAATCAGTGATTTAATCCCCTGATAGGGGTTAATTGAGTGTTAACTGAAGTGGTAGGGTGTGGCTGGAGGAGGTGGGAATTGGGGCATGGCTTTGGGAATATATTTGTATCTGGCGAGTCAACTCTCTGCTTTCTGATAACCTRTGAGCTGCTTCCCTCTGCCACACCTTTCCACCATGATATTCTGCCTCACCTCAAGTCCTGAGGAATGGAGCCTGCTCTCTATGAATTGAGATCTCTGAAATCATGAGCCTCTAAATAAACCTTTCCTCCTCTATAGTTGTTCTGGTYGGGTCTTTTAGTCGTAGCAGCAAAAAAGCTAAAATATATGTTACTATGTCTAGTGACATCATAACATTCATTTATGTGGTAATATGTCCTTGCTATATTGCATTTTAAAAGCAGCTTATAAAACAGAATGATCCCATTTTAAGGGATGGGTGGCTCAGCACACAAATAGACGTGAACAATGGGAAGTTATACTTCACGTATATATGATATGTCGAAATGCATTACTGTCATGTATAACTAAAAAGAATAAAAATTTTTAAAAAATAGTGAGCATATCAAAATACCAATATAGGCTATCTCTCTAAATGGTTTTAGGGTGTTTTCTATTATTTTTTGTTTTTCTATATTTTCTAATTTGTTTCTGCAGGGAGCATGTTTTATTGTTGTAATTTTAAAATTATTATTGTAATTTTAAGACTCAAAATGATTCAGAAAATGCTTCCACTTTGTCCCGCATATGACAGGTAAGACATCCTCGGAGGAAGAGGCCCTTGGCTCTAATCACTGCTTTCCCTACACAGCACAACATACAGGAAGAGGATGCCCAAAGCACAGGAACAAGGACATATAGCTGGTGACACAGTAACACTGTATAAGTACTGCCATATGTTTGTTTGGTTTTGTGTGTGTGTGTACCAAGGATTGAACCCAGGGTACTTAACAACTAAGCCACATCTCTAGCCCTATTTTTTTTTTTTTTTTTTTTGAGACAGAGTCTCAGTAAGTTGCTTAGAGCCTCACTTAGTTGCTGAAGCTGGCTTTGAACTTGCGATCCTGAGCCACTGGGATCACAGGTATGGGCCACTACACCCAGCAAGCACTGCCATATGTATATCAATGGGAGCACATTTTCCTCTGATAAAGGTGAAAATCTTTTGAAGCCACTAGATGAGTAGGCTTAAGGAGAGAGGGATTAAGGTTCATGTAATAGGTTCAATAAAATGTGTCTTAAAGGAAATCCTACAGCACCAAAGCAGAACAAGCTGGGAGGAAGAAGGGTGAATTGTTTTTACACCACATTCACCAACCAAATTGGATCAGGAGGCTTAAGTCCTTGGGGTAATTCTAAATCAGAGATCCACTATAGACCAAAACAAAACAAGAGACAGTAACAAGAGTTGAGAGGATGTGGAGAGACCGGAACCCTTAAACACTGTCRTGGGAAGGAGAAATGGTGCTGCTGTGAGGAAAACAATTTTTCTGGGCTCAAAAAAATGTTAAATCCTATGACTTGGCAACTGCATTCCTCGGCACGTGCCCAGGAGAACTGAATTTAGGAACACAAACCTGAATATGCTCCCCAAAAAACTCKTACACAAATGTCCACAACCTATTCATAATAGCCCCAAAGTGAACACAACACAAATGTCCATTACCTGACAAACAAGTAAGCACATGTGGCCTATTTACATGTCCATATACTATAAAAACCGTAAAAAGAATGCATTTCTGATGTAAGCTCTGAGATGGATGAACCTTGAAGACATTAGGCTAAATGTAAGAAGTAACTCACAAGAGCACACATATCCTATGATTCCATGAATGTGAAACAGCCGGAATAGGAAAAGCCATAGACAAAAGACAAGTTAGTGGTTGCTGAAAAGCAAGGGGGAGGACAGATTGGGCAATGGCTGATAATAGATATGGGGTTTCTTTTCTTGAGTGATAAAACATGTTCTGAAAATAGGCAGTGGTTGTAGTGAGATGAATGGTACCCTAAAAAGATCTTGATGTTCTAATATCTAGAATCCTCATTGGAATTAGGACTATCTCTAGAGGGTGTGATCCTGAGACACCCACTTTAGACCTGTCTGGCCTCCAGAACTATAAAAGAATATATTTCTGTTGCTTTAAGTCACTTGGTTTGTACTAATCTGTTTCTATAGCCCTAGGAAACTAATGACAGTGGTGATCAAGACACAACTTTTTTTATATTAAAAATCAATGACGGGCTGGGGTTGTGGCTCAGTGGTAGAGCACTCGCCTAGCATGAGTGAGGCCCTGGGYTCGATCCTCAGCACCACATATAAATAAATAAATAAAATAAAGATATTGTGCCCAACTACAACTAAATAATAAATAAATATTTTTTTAAAAAATCAATGACTAGGGGCTGGGGCTGTAGCTAAGTGGCAGAACGCTTGCCTAGCATGCATGAGGCACTGGGTTCGATCCTTAGCACCACATATAAGTGAACAAATAAATTAAAGGTATTCTGTACATCTACAACTACAAATAAAATTTTTTTAAAAAATCAATGACTTACATACTTTAAAGGGTGAGTTTTATTGTATGTGAATAATACTTCAATAAAGCTGTTATTTTAAAGAATATGTACACATACACACACAGAGATGCTTATAACACATCAGGAAGAACTAACTTCATAGACTGATAGGTGCTGACAAACCGTAGTCCTTGCTTTTGAATACCAAGGCAATACTACTATCCCCTGGCCATGAGATGTGTACTCTGTAGTTGCTCCTCCTTCCTTAATCAGGGCAAGACCTTTTAGATGCACGTCCTTATGCCTCTTGGGCTGACGCTTACTTGGGAGATAGTTGGTCATGTCTAGTCTGTAACTCTGCAGTTCATGGGGWACACTGAGGGGCCATCTTTTCCCATTTCTAGATCAATGTCCAGTAGACACAGCCTTGAGTAAAAGATTAACTGGATAATTCCAAGCTACCAAGAAAAAAAAAAAAAAAGAGAGAGCACAAAGAATACTCATTGGCTAGGGAAATTACAGAGAGGACACTGGGTTAAACCCTCCCCAAGTCCCACGGTAATGGCCACTGAAGTTAAGCAATCTAGGCTTACCCTGGGGAAGATCTCTAAGAGTGAACAGTGCCCTTACCATCYTCCAGGTCAGAGAAGAGAGAACACGGTGCCCCCTGCAACCTACTGGCCTTTCCAGGAAGCAATTTCCAACATAAAAGGGYCCAGAAGGAGGTGATCTATCTATTTGTTCATTCATTTATTTGGGGGGCATTGGGGATTTAACCCAGGGGCACTTTACTGAGTCCCTAGTTCTTTTTTTTTTTTTAATTTTGAGACAGGGTCTCACTAAGTTACTTAGGGTCTCGCTGAGTTGCTGAAGCTGACCTTGAACTTGGTGGTCCTCCTGCCTTAGCTTCCCAAGTCACTGGGATTACAGCCATGCGGCACTGCACCCGGTATTTTTGCTAGATGAAAACATCTACCAAAACAGTCTCTTGGCACCATGGAAATTAACACAGATTGCCCTTAGGGTGTCACTCAGACCTACTTGGGATGCCTACTTGGGGTAACCTAAGATCTCCAAGTCCTGAAATGTGTGCAGCCAAAACAGTCCTGGGGAACACTACCTCTGCACCTCAGGTCCTTACCTCCACACGTCACTGCCTTTGGAAAACGTAGAGGCACGAATGACTTCAGGAGCCATCCAGGCATAAGTCCCTGCTGCACTCATCTTAGTGGTTCGGTGCCATTCCCGAGCCAGGCCAAAATCAGTGATCTTCAGTATCTTGTTGCTCAGGTCTCCATTCTCCACCTTCTGCAGGATCAGTACTAGACAAGGAAAGGAAGACAGAAGAAATCAGAGTCTACATTAATCACAGGGAAACCACTAAACACAAAGCCCTCCTGCTGTCCTCTTGGCTTCTTCTGTAGGTTCCTCATGGTGCTACCAGAGCCTGATAGCAGGAGCCACCATCTCTTAAACACCTACACTGCATTCACCTTTGAGCCCCCTGTTTTATTGGTACAAACATAAATGCAGTAGAGGATTAGAGGTGATGTCCCACAACTACCTTAAAAGGTAGCTTCTTCAGGTTGAGCATCCCTAATCCAAGTATGATTGATTTAGGAGTGTTCAACCAGTGAAATCTGAACAAATATTCCCAAACCTGAGAAAAATCCCAAATCTGAAACACTTCTGGACCCAAGTACTTTTTTAAAATAATTTTTTAATAACGTTATTTTTATGTGGTGCTGAGGATCAAACCCATATGCCACAAATGTGCTAGACGAGCACTCTACCATCGAGCCAGAACCCCAACCCCTAAGTACCTTTAATACTCAACCAGCGTTGCCATCTTCATTTCACAGATGAGGAAACTGTGCTATAGCATTATTAAACAAATCACCAAGGTTACCCAATTAATAATCCAGGACTGAGTCCCAGGCAGCCAGACTCCAGAGACTGCTCTCTTCACCTATAGCCTGATCCCATCTTGTGAAGGAAGATCTATGAATCACAGGTGACCCTCCAAGGAGTAGCTACTTGTTTGCCAGGGTACCCCTAGGTTATAACCACTCACAGATCACAGGGGTTGGAGGCAAATATTGGATTTTCAAGGTTTCAGACAGCATCTGGACAGCATCCGTGATCACATTACTTTACTCTTAAGAAAGCACATCTATTGGGCTCTGGAGATTTTGGCATAATCCAGTAACTTCCCCCAAACACCAATACAGAATGAGTGATGAGTTGGCAAGGTTACAGGCACAAACAAGTTCACACCCCAGATGCTTTTGGGACCATAGCCCAGGAAGGAGGAACCAGGGCACCAAAGCAGTTATACTCTGGTTCCTAACAGGTGCCAAACTCAAACACGGAAGCTCCATCTTGGTTCCCCTAGGGCAGCAGCTGAGGCAGCCTCCCCCTCCTGTTGCTAATCCCAGTGATAAATGTGTCCTTGTGGGAGCCAAACTTGCTAAAAAGACCCCAAACACTACTCGACTGGAGTACTGTAAGGTAAGCCAAGGAATTGTGCTGACTGGGCAGCCAGCAAGCGAGCTCTTTGGCCATGTGGAAGCCAAGCCTCCATCCTCACAAGTGGTAAAGTTCCAAAGGCTCCATGCAAGCACTGCTGCTCATGGGTCAGACACTAGGGCACCTGGAATTCAGGGCTCAACAGGCTGCTGTTTAGAGAAAAGAGGAAGGTTCCCCCCTCGTCCATGCCACCCTTGTGTGGCAAAGGAATGCAGACAGAATAGCAATAAGAAGTGCTGACTTAGCTCCATCCAGCCAGATCTATCTAGAGGAACAGCAAAGAGAGTACACAATAGTTCTCAGCCCTATGTGTGCCAGGGTACTCCAAAGGGCTTCCCACTAGCTCTAACTCCCTTGGCTGGTTCTCCAGTTATCCCACAGAGCCTCAAGAAGGCTGAACCTTTACCTCCTAAGAGGTATTTGCATCAGCAGACTCTGTGAGAGTTCAAACCCTTCCATATCTATATGGAAGGAATCTATGTGGATTCCTTTGGGTAGATAGTTCAGGGCATGGGTTTGAGGCAGGGGCCTCAAGTCACAGCCTGTCCCCCAGATCAAGGTCCATTTAATTGTTATATATTGAAAGAATGTGGGTCAAAGATCTGTGTCCTACGTGCTTCTCAGAAAAGCAGCAGCTCAGAGGGATTACCAGCAGCTYTAGAGCTGGAGGCACAAAAGAAAACAGCCACTCCCCAGACCTAATGGACAAAGGCTCTTTCCTCCACACCCTCCCCCTCCTCCCTGGACGCACCCCTCCCCACCCCAGGCTTCCAGCATCTTGAGTGGGTACAGGCCTCCAAATGCTTGGGCAGGTTTTCAAAAAGAAAAGGAAAGGAAAAAAAAAAATCTTTCTCCATCTCGTCTATTAACAAAAGATCTTTCCAGACTCTTCTGTGGCAGAGACAATGGACAAGGAGACATTCAAACTGCAGGCAAGTGACACTAAAGAAACCCTCCATTCCCTCTCCAGAGGCAGCCACCAGCTGCTGACTGTCTCTGAGCCACCCATAAACAGAAGATTCAGAAGGAATCCTTCCCTTCCCCTTTCATACTCAGTGGGGTTGGTGGCTGGCACCCCCCACCCCACCCCCCAACGTGACTGGGACAGGGCACAGCGGGAGGAGGATGAAATTTCATATTAGTGTAAGAGTTGGCTTAATAAGTGTGGCAGAACGATGGGCCAAGAACAAGCCAGGGACAGTCTGTCTGAATGAGAATGCCTTTATATAGGATGGCTACGCTAGGTTCCACTAATTGCCACAGTCCCCTGCTGCCTGACACCCAGCTGACGTTAAACACTTGCTCAACTGCTCAGGGCCCCTAAAGGTATCTGCTTTAGGAATGCATGGTTTAGGAGTCCTAACCTTATCAAAATAGAGAGGGTGTAATCAAAAACCATCAAGAAATCTTGGCAGAGGGTCACAGACAATAGTGTCCTGAAATATGGTAACTACAAAGCATCAGTTATTAATAATTAAAGCACATAAATTTGTGAAAGCATTCCTCTTTTTGTTTTTGTTGACTTTTTTATTGAGATGAAATCTGAACAATATAAAATTAACCATTTTAAAGTGAATAATTCAGTGGCATTTAGTATTTTTACAATGTTGTAGATCCATCACTCTTATCTACCTTCAAAAAACATCTTTATGCAGCTGAGGCTGAGGCTCACGGGTAGAACACTCACCTAGCACGTTTGAGGYGCTAGGTTCAATCCTCAGCACCATATAAAAATAAATAAAATAAGGGTATATTAAAAAAAAGTTATCTGCCCGAAAAGGAAGTCTCACACCCATTCCCTGTTCTTCCCTCCCCTCAGTCCCAGCTACCACCAATGTGCTATCTCTACAATTTACCTTTCTGAATATTTCATATAAGCAAAACACAATATGCTATATCTGGCTTATTTCACTTAGTGTTTTCAAGGTTTATCCATATTATAGCTTATATCAGTACAGCTTTCATCTGTTTTTCAGTCCTAGAGATTGAACACAAGGGTACTCTACAWACCCAGTCCTCTATTTTATTTTGAGACAGAGTCTTTCTAGATGGCACTAAACTTACAATTCTCCTGCCTTAGCTTCCTGAGTAGCTGGGATTACAGGTGTGCCCCACTGGATCTGACATTTGACATTCCTTTTTATGGTTGAATAATGTTCCATTTTGTGTGTGTATGTGACAATTTGTTTATCCATTCATCCATTGACATTTGAGTCATCTCAGCTTTCTGGCTACTGAGAACAGTGTTGAATATGTATAGATATGTTTATGCAACTATTTCAATTTTCATACCTAGAAATAGAATTGCTGAGTCACATGGCAATTCTATAGCTAACTTCTTGAGGAACTACCAAACTGTTTTCCATAGCAGCTGAACCATTTTTGCATTTTCACCAGCAGAATATGAGGGTTCCAATTTCTCCACACCCTCACCATGCTCAGAACACATATTTCTGTCATCATCATCACCATCCTTGTGCATATGAAGTAAAGTCTCTTTGTGATCTGGATTTGCATTTTCCTAATGGACTAACGATGCTGAACCTTTTTTCATGTGCTTGTTGGGCATTTGCATATCTTCTCTGGAGAAATGTCTATTCGATCCTTTACCCAATTTTTTAAGCAGGTGATTTTTTTTTTTGTAAGAACTCTCTATATATTGTAAACTGTTATCTGATAAATGATTTGTATTTTCCCCATTCTATAAGTTGTCTTCACTTACTTTAGTTTTCTTTGATGTACAAAAGTTTTTAATTTAGATGAAGTCCACTTTATCTACATTTTCCTTTGTTGCTCATGCTTTCGGTGTAATATCTAAGAATCCAATGCCAAACCCAAGGTCATTAAGATTTACCTCTATGTTTTCTTCTAAGACTTTTAGCTTTTACACTTAGATCACTGACCCATTATTTGTTAACTTCTATGTAGCATATGAGATAAGGGTCCAACTTCATGTGACTATCTAGCTGTCCTAGCACCATTTGAAGAGGAAAGCTTTAAAACATAAAGAGTACAGTTTTCTTCCAACATGCTATCCTGGGCAGGTGGGAAAGGTTATAGTCACAATAGTTTATACATCAGTAGCACTGTAGTGAGCCCATTATGAGTTTCTACCACTGATGAGCAGCTGTGATAATAACAAATAATTGTGCTTTCATGTCTTAGAAACCATATCCAGGAGAGTATATTGTGCAGCCCTCACCTCTCATGTGCAGGGAAGTAGAGAAAATACTGAGAACAATGAATGATCCCAGGCCTAAGTCAATAGGAGCCTGGTCAGGGTCAGGCGAACTAAAAAAAGAAAAAAGAAAAAGATGCACTTGAACTAAAGACCTGGTGGTTAACCAGATACAGGAGCTTGATGGAGAAGAGAAGAGTCTCCAGCCTTTTGTGGTGGCAAGAAGAATGGTGGTAGTCCAACTGGGAAGTTGAGGGGAAAAAGCCCATTTGAGGAAGCCAAGTTCAATTTTGGACTATAGGTCTAGGCTGATAGTAGCCAGAGTCATAGGAAACAGGCAAAGAGAATAGATAACTGAAGTCCCAGGCTTGACACTCTGTCTATGTGATTCTGGACAAATCCACAAACTCTACTTCTAGAAAATGGAAATAAAAATTAAATGCATTACAGTAACACAGAAGCTAGCAGAGAGCCTGCCACATATACAGGCACCTAGAACATGCTAGCTAGTATTATTACAATGAAATATACTACACATGGGACTCTGAAATTAAGTATTTGATGGGGAAAGCCTGGCAGTCCCTGACACATAATAACCATACAATCAATTTTGCT